ATTGTTTCACTTCAAATCGATCAGTTTAACTTGGGTTTTGCTATAATGGACGAAAATTTAAAAATTACATATTTTATATTTAATTACCGATGAAATGTGATTCCGTTTGTTTTGTAATTGGATGTTTTGCTGTTTTTCCCACACCACCGAATGGAACAGCCCCCCACAGTTAGAGATGTTATCTTTATTACAATAAATACAGAATTTTGGTATATACGGAAACGTGTACACAGGTCAGTTGTTGCCGCTGTATTACTTCAGCTTTCTAATTTGTGATTTCAGTGCCAACGAGAGTTGATATTTAAAAGAGATATAAGCCCCATTTGCCTGATGAGTTGCCAGTGATGGATGGCCCTTAGTTCGTCTCTATTTCTGTTTATATATTCGATGAATTTGCCGTACAAAATTGTGAAGTAATTTACGAGGTTGCTAGCGAAAACTCACACTTTACACGTGGCAGAGGCATTGATTGGGTGGATATTTGTGGTTGGGATATTAATGTCAGTAGTAAAATGGTACATAAGCGACTGCCAGTGTTGTTAGACACCTGAGTAAACAATAGTTATTTGTTATGCAAGGCTGCAAAGTTCTTGTTTGACGCAAGTGCTTGTATTGAATCCTGGGCGTATCGAAGGTTTCTGGCCACGAGACGCAAAACAACTTTGCTGCCAAGCGAACCACACTACTTTTCACTTCATTATAGCGAGGAAAATGGTAGATGAATGAAAAACAGGTGAATTATAAGAAATCAGTTTTAATAAACAAAATTAATTATCGTTGTCAATTTAATGTCAACAATAATAACATTGACTTACAATTATATGGACGTCGGGTCCGCGCTAAAAAGTGTCCGAACTTATAGGGCGTTAAAATCGTATACAGAGCGTCATTCACGCTTTAGTCTTCGTTTGTTCGACTGACAGCGAAGCAAGCAAAATTAGACAGTACTGCGATGACATTACAATTTAAATTCAACGTTTTAGCTTTTTCATATTCCTTTACATGTTACTACATTTAAATAGGTTGACTTGGGACATTTTTTTCGTGGTTTTTGTATTAGACCCGTCGTCCATTTATTTGTAAGTCAATGAATAATAAGAATAAAATATACCAATGGATTTACCTACATATATTACACCACAGTCCATCGTGAAATTCGAATCCCAGAAACGTTTTCCACGCTAGCGTGGAAAAAACGCTTTTGCGCGTAAATGATAAAGAAAGCCTTTCCGAGCTAGTGAGGTGAAACAGTTTCTTAAATGATTATTTGAAGGAGGCAACAGATTTATTTATCTACAATATTATCGTTTGTCAACCCTAAAAATAATTAGGTTCTATAGGAAAATAAGACAATTTCTCAATGTAACGACGTTGTTGGAAATAGTTATAACAACAGTTACGCCTTTTTACAACTTTCACTTTTTGTCAAGGCACCAAAGTTTTGTAGGTACTTTACTGTGAGTCATGCGCAAGATTATGTCGGTCAATAGGAACGGTTTAAGACGAGGACAAATTTGTGCTAGATTTATCAAAATACAGCTGCGTGATCGCGATAATAATAATGAGAGCGGTGGAAACCAGTTGCTTCTTAAATGAGGGGTCGATTTTAATTTTTAAGAGTTTATACTACCTCAAATTCAAATTTTTCCTTACAATTATGGTTCTTTTGCATTTTTTTAAATAAAAATAGATATAAGTGCGCATTTGACCTCCATCTCACCTAATGGAAAGTGACGATGAGGTCGACGATGGATCATGCACACCTAAATAATGCCTATTCACTCTCGCCTTGAAAAGACCCAAGTTATAACGTTCAGGGAATAAGTCTGCAGGCATGTAATTCCACTCCATAGCCGTTCGCCATATAAATGTTGAAGCGTAACGCTTCGGCGCGAATCTTTCGAATATCCACAACATAGGGGTGGAACTCAAGCCTCCGCCAAGTCCCGCTTGGGTCGAGCAGCTTGGGTGTAGCAGGGACACTGGCTTTATTTCAGAATTTATTTTTTTAGAATCGAAATAAAAGTAATTTGTAAAATGTAGGTATATCAAGTATACACAGAAAGCGTATCGCGCCCTGTGCGTCCAGTACAATGACGCACTCGGAATGCTGTTGGGGTTGCCGCGCTACTGTAGCGCTTCAGGAATGTTTGCCGAGGCGCGTGTGGACGGTTTTAGCTCCATTTTGCGGAAGCGGGTGGCATCCCTGATGCGCAGGGTGCGGGGCAGCGCCAATGGCATTCTTCGAACAGTGGCCGAGAGGAACGATGGGCCCATACGGTATAGGTGGATAAGGGTACATTGTACATTCTAGATAACTCTTATTAACATAGATGGTAAGGATTTTGTTACTAACACTTTATGGATATCTTGTCTGAAATAAAGATTTTGATTTTGATTTGATTTGATATCGTGGGTATGTATACATACATATGTACGTAAACACTTTATTGTACAACAAATTTTTAACAGAGAAATAAAACGTTATTGTAGGTACAAAGGCGAGCTTATCCCATAAAGGGATTTTATACTTGACCTTTAGGGATTAAGTTTAGTACACGTGTTCTATTTAGTTCAGTTGATATAAAATAAAAACGTTATAACAATAATAACGTTGATCTCATAAATAAATAAAACATGTTGATTTTATTATAAATTGTGTTTGTTATCGAGTTCTTAGGTTTTCGTGATTTTCGTGATATACATATTTGTTTTTTCATTAACCAACGTTTCGAACCCTTTACAGGTCCCATAGACACGGTTGACTATTCGTTGTTATCATTTGTGTTCATAGTTGACTGAGCTGATTTTTTAAGGTTTTAAAATAAATCTCGACCTGAAACCGAAAAGAAACCCGGGAGAACTTTGTATTTTTAATACAAGTTCTAAAAAAAATCACAATTCAAATGAATACGTGCTTACCAGTTAGACGAATTCAGGGTCGATGATGATGCAATTCAAACATATTCAACTAAGTATTTATCGCATGCGTAACCAACAGTCAGTCGATAGTCGGAAGAATATTTATGGACTGCAATGACTAGCTGCTTGCAAGCGGACAACACTTTTGCGCAATCAACTGTCATTTTACACATCTTCAAAAACGACAGTCTATGGCTCAACTAACACTGGCGCAGAGTCGAAGCGTCGCCTCGCGTCCTGTCTTTCAACTACAATGCCTTTTTTACAATTTGCATAACACGAATTTGAACCTTAATCATGAGGTAAATAGAGATGAATATGCAATAGGCATTGACTTACAAATAAATTGACGACGGGTCTAATACAAAAACCACGAAAAAAATGTCCCAAGTCAACCTATTTAAACGTAGTGACATGTAAAGGAATATGAAAAAGCTAAAACGTTGAATTTAAATTGTAATGTCATCGCAGTACTGTCTAATTTTGCTTGCTTCGCTGTCAGTCGAACAAACGAAGACTAAAGCGTGAATGACGCTCTGTATACGATTTTAACGCCCTATAAGTTCGGACACTTTTTAGCGCGGACCCGACGTCCATATAATTGTAAGTCAATGGCAATAGGCGAAAAACATGACGCGTCACGGCGCTTCGACTCTGCGCCTGTGTGAGTTGAGTCTATATCACGGAAGAAAAAAAAACAATGGAAGCGCCTTAAGCCTCGATTACTATTAGAACCGATGTCGTCAAAACTCACACATTCTTACTTAGAAACACTACAAAATCTTGATATTTATTGGTTGTAATTTCAAATTTAAAAATAAATAACATATTCTGAATTGTTTATACAATTTAAACTTTATCCTGTTGGCATATCTCTGAAAGTTCAATACCAACAATGACGTTTGGATATTATATTGAAATTTGTAATGTGCTGCCATCTAGGGGTTAATTGCTGAACGACGACGAATTGGAGATATTTCTTTTAATCTGCGTTTAAATTTAGGAATTTTGTTCTAAAGAACACGCCACTCTTATCTTATTCTAATTGTAATACAATTTACAGTAAAAACTATTTTTTATATTATTATCACTTTAAAAGTACTTCGTTAACTATCGCCGATTTAACGTGTCACACATTTTTGTATATTTTGACAAGGGTTCAGACATAATCCCTTGGAAGAAGTTGACGTTGGAGCGGTTCAATTGTAATAGAAACATCAGGAACTGGAGTTATTAATTTAGTTTTCCAAAAAAGAAGCGACCATAATGCCCCCTGCATTGTAAGCTTTACTTTCGTTTCTTGTAATAAAAAAAACATTTCGATAAACGGAAAAATGAAAACTCACACACTCACACACTCAACATAGCCCCGCACTAGGGAAACCCTGTGTCGCGGGTGCCACGGACACACATATAGACTACCACAAATTACACCCAAACTCACGGGAGAAACAAAATGTAGGCCATATAAATATTTCTCCCGGCCTGGGAATCGAACCTGGGACCTCTGCGTAGCAGTCCGGCGTGGTAACCGTTCAGCCACGGAGGCAGTGATAGCATGAAATATCATCTCGGGTAACATTTTTTGATGTGGCTATCACTTTTGTACTCCAAAATAGCACAATAAGGCATTTTATAGAGAATTTGCACGAAAGAATGACACAACCATACCGTACAAAGCGAAAATGGCTGACAGAGCTCAAGTAGATCTTTCGAGACCTTTATTGGCACGTGTCAGACGCTAACTAACCAGTTCTACTATAATTAATTGTTCAGAGGACTATACACTGAAAGCCCGATCCTGATGGAATGGACAAACTACACTGGAATGAAATAAATAAATAACGCACACACTCAACATAGCCCCGCACTAGGGAAACCCTGTGTCGCGGGTGCCATGGACACACACATAGACAACCACAAATTACACCCAAACTCACGAGAGAAATAAATGTAAGCCATACAAACATTTCTCCCGGCCCGGGAATCGAACCTGGGACTCTGCGTGGCAGTCCGGCATGGTAACTGTTCGGCCACGGAGGCAGTTAAAAATGAAATAAATGGTAAATTAAAAAATTATTTCATTTATTAAAATTTGATTGTATCTAAAACGAACGACGACCGTTACAATTGTTCACCTCGACGATTATTACATTTAACAGGCAGCAGATAACACAGTCGGTCAATCCCTCTGGAACAATGAAAAATACACCTTATTACATCTCAGCACGTAAAATGAACTTAAGGCTGTAATTGTTGTTTGTGTCAATTTATTTTTTATTTTATTAGGAAATGAAAGTATTTTTTCGGATATAAGTCGCATAAATTTCCATATCTATTTTTTGACCATTGTAAAAAGCCATATTTATTTACCCGAATTTTGTGAAAAAAAAATACAGAAACAAAAAATATATCAGTCAGCCCGTGATCACGGCCAGTGCAATCTGGCCGAAACGTCGGGTACATGTGAAAAATACCTATTCGTATGTAAACGCGTTTATTCCCGTTTCCAAATGTGAGTACAAATGTTGAAATTCGAAAAAGAAACTAAAAAAACGAATTGTGTGAAAAAAATAAAGAAACAGAAAGCAAAATAAAAACAGAACAGGTCTAAAAATTAAGTTGGGTGGTGTTCATTGTGATAGTGTTCATCGTCAAACCAACGTTTCGGGCCCTTCACAGGTCCCATGGTCACGGCTGATTGAGATGGTAAAGTCCTCAACCAGTTATGTCTAATATTAATACGTGTTTGACAAAACAAATAAAACGCGATTCAGAACCTAAAAAATAGTTTCATTTCCAATGTGTAACAATCGCAAAAACCTAAGAACTCTTTTTTATTTTTTATTTTTTTCATATAATAATAATCTTTGTTGCCTCTTTACAAAAGTTTTCCGCTAAACTAATAGTCTTATAATAATAATAACAACGCACACCCTCAACATAGCCCTGCACTAGGGAAAACCCTGTGTCGCGGTTGCCATAAACACACACATAGACAACCACAAATTACACCCAAACTCACGAGAGAAATAAATATAGGTCATACAAATATTTCTCCCGGCCCGGGAATCGAACCTGGGACCTCTGCGTGGTAGTCCGGCCACGGAGGTCTCATGTGGCTGTATTTTCACCAGCAGCGATTTCGTCTTATTGGAGTTAAATTGAAATGTTATGCGCGTGGGTGATTCAATAAGCCGAAATGATGCGGAAAATGTGCAATTTTGACATTGACTTACAAATAAATGGACGACGGGTCTAATACAAAAACCACGAAAAAAATGTCTCAAGTCAATCTATTTAAACGTAGTGACATGTAAAGGAATATGAAAAAGCTAAAACGTTAAATTTAAATTGTAATGTCATCGCAGTACTGTCTAATTTTGCTTGCTTCGCTTTCAGTCGAACAAACGAAGACTAAAGCGTGAATGACGCTCTGTATACGATTTTAACGCCATATAAGTTCGGACACTTTTTAGCGCGGACCCGACGTCCATATAATTGTAAGTCAATGAATTTTGATTGAAATAAATTAATTACATTGTGATGTTGTGACATAGACATTTAGTAGTAGTAGGGTTCCTTGTGAAAGAGTTCGTCCAGGGAAGTACTGCCACCTTACCTACTTCTGCCGCCAAGCAGTAAAGTGAACATTACTGCGTTTCAATTTTGAGGGTAAGAGTGCTGGTGAAATTACACGCCCGTAGATTTTTCGACTTATGTCTCATGGTGCACGCATTGACAGTGCCCCGCAGATCTTTGCGATTCAAAGTTCTGAGCGGTACTACAACTGTTCTGCCGTCCACTAACTAAATTAAATTAATATCACAAAAAACCATAACCCACTTTTAGAACATTGAAATTATTTAACGATATTTCAGCTATGCATCGTTAGGGTTAAGTTCCGATAAGTCGAACGGTTTTTAAAATAAAAGAATTTTGTGCTGCATCTCATACTGTTTAAAACGAATATTTGACCACTTAGACGCGTTTTAGTTAGTGGATGGCAGTGTTATGGACAGACGTGTTGCTTACCACCAGGCGAACGACTTGTCCGTCCCGTCTTTTAATATCATAAAAATGAAAAACAGGAAATAAGTAAATGAATTAAATACGCAAAAACTTTTCTCCTTTCCAAATTGTTACGTTACTCCGTTAGGTCCTTGTGCTAATTGGAAGAGAACATTATACTTATTTCCTTCAACATATTCACTTGGCCTTACTAAGACATGAGCCTCAATAAATAATACACCAATTCTTTATCTTTTCGATAACATTTAAGTATATTAATAAATGCTGTGTTATATCTAATCGTAATTACATAATAACTATAGTCTGTCGAATCTGCGATCCACCAAAATTTACCCAAAATTGTTTTGAAAGATCTATTCGGATTTTTTTGAGCACGGAGTAAAATGACAGTTCATTGCGTAAAAGAGCTGCCCGCTTGCGAGCAGCTAGTGATTGCAGTCGATAGAATTATACTCTATCGACTATCGACGAATGATGTGGTATAAATAGCCGAACGTGTTTCATTTGAATCACCCTCGACCCATTACTCAACCAATTACTGAGCAACTTCATTTGAATTGTCAATTTTTGTAAGTTCATACATACATACACTGTATTTAGAAATATGTTTATGAAAAATATAAAGAGGAGACATATTTTAAAGTTTTTCATTTTTCAATATAGATAATCTAATCCACCTATTCTTGTCAAAATATATATTAATAAAAATTGATCAAAAGGCAATAACGCAATTAGTAATCATTAGAACGTCGTAACATTCACAATTTAGTCCTTTTTGGCAAAATTTTATCGTCTTTCACAATCTATCGATAAAACTGTCGACAACAACTACACAACTATATAAAATTTTATGAAAACTAGCGACCTACAAATGTCATTTTACTCCGTCCTCAAAAAAGACAGACTATAAAAATAATGGTGTTTTGAATTCAGTTATTTCGGCTGAGGAAATATTCTCCTATAATAAGTAATGGGACGAACAAGACACGGACATGGTTTATGTATAATCGATGCCCTAAGTTGCCTGACCTGCAAGCCGACATTTTGGTTCTGAAAGCCTTCTTCGTATTGAACAGAAAAGCGTAAAGGAATTCCAGCTTTTGGGTTGAAATGTGTCTATATGAAATGTAATTAAAGACGAAATTGGTTTAAAAAGTTTCTTAAAACGTCAGTTACTAATGCAATAAGGTAGTCATACGAAAATGAATTTTACGTCTCTCAGGTTAAAGGTTATGACGATGCGATCTCCCGCATCGTCATTCCATCTTTTTATCACCCTCTTTTCGGGTTCCTGGCCACTTACATTTGAAATTTTAAATCGTTCACTAATTGGACGTAGTTAAACAAAACGGATCAAATGCACATCCAGTCACTTTAGAGATATCTACTGTGAACTCGCAATCGGTACTATCTCAATTTTGAAAACTTTACAGGTGAAGCAAAAAATTGTTTTTAACTTCATTTACATAGCATCTGATTTATTAAATAAAAATACGTAGTTTTTAAATATTTTTATTATACATACACTACGTATTGTTATTTAATAAATCAGATGCTATGTAAATGACGCAAACAATTTTTTCTTCATCGTACAAAGTTGTCAAAATTGAGATAGTACCGGTTGCCAGTTCACAGTCGATATCGCAGTTTAAAGTTTAAAAATGTTTCTCACTTTTGTTTTATTTTCGAAACTTATAATGTTATGTAGCTCCAGAGATATTATTTATGTTTATATGTTGTATTTTTTTCTGATCTAAAAGGTTAGATTTTAGGAACCGTTTGGTACATTACTTAGTTTAATAGTTAATTACTTAGTACTTTTTGCTTAACTACGTCCAATTCGTTTTCTTCGTTATTCTTACTTTGGTTCGTTCTGTCGTCACTCCCATCAAAATTCTCGAAGAGAAAGGGCGTGTGCATCATAAACCTCACACCTCAATCATGTAAACTTCAGTATTTTAACTGTTTATAAAGCATTGGATATATACACGTAATAAATCGTAAACGTTTACTTTATGTTAATCCGTTGTAAGGGAGTGTTTTATACTGTTGTACTTGTTTTTTTATATCATTGTATTTTTGTTATAGCCTTCTTGTTCCCCTTTTACCCTTTTAATAAATGTTGTGTGGACAGAGCCTTCACTCTTTAATTTCGTCAAGGTTGGGGCTACAAGATTAAATTTGTTAAACATCTTTCTTCACATTGATCTGTTCAAGCCAAATAGAACCAAGTAGACGGTCTTGGGATCAAGTGTCTTACGGCGTGTGTACACGCTAAGAAAAGTCGGCGGGTCTGTGCAAGAATTCGTGTCGTTTCTACACACAAACTGTGTACACAGCCTCGGCGCAGCAAAAGAAAAAATTCTTGTCTACCTCAGACGCGACGCGCTCTGCCGCTATTGCATAGGGCGCATTGTCAGTAAACGGCCGTTTATGCGCGTGGGCTCATTTTGCAAAGTACCACATTCTATGTATGTCTGTGATTATTTCGAATTTAGTAGTCAACATATTTCTTCCTCTTTATTTCTTTTGACAGTCGGTAGTACGACAGCTACCTCGTCAATGCACTGACACGTTTACTCTACACACGTCTGCCCGAAAGAATTCGTATCGTGTACATAGTCATCATTTTCTTGTCTGCAACAGACACGGAATATTTTCGTGGCTAGATCCGACAAAATTGTTGTCATGTACAAGGCCATTCTCGTTTTTTCTTTTGTAGACACGACAAATTTCTTAGCGTTTACACGCACCGTTAGGGCGTCAACTGTACCGGTAATTAATTATAAACGTATTTTTAATGATAACATTAACTAAGTCTGTATTAGGTCCTTTGGTAAATAAAATTAATTTATAGTAATAAAGATAACATAATTATCAATTTAGGTTATCGACGCGTATTATAAAAGGATCGAAACAAGATACGGCAATATTAAAAAAATATTACGACGCCTATAGCGATAAATGAGGGCCCTCTCCAGATTGGACACCACATTGATAATAGAAAAATTCAGATTATGTAAACCCGTTACGTAAACCCATCATAGTCTCAATCATCATAGGTTATCTTATCAAGCTCATTGCACAGGAATAATTAGTTTATTTTATAATACTTAAAAGGTAGGGTGGGTGATTGGAAGTAAGGGCGCCTTCAAATTAGACGCTTATACTGCCCTCAGAAAGCACTGTAGTGGCGCCACTGTCGCACTGCAGCCGCGTCACTACTAATTTTCATACAATATTTAGAAGCACAGCTGGAGGGCCACAGTCGTGACACGCACCTTTTGCAGTCACATTAACAACATTCTCTTGTAGAGTCGAGGCTACAAAATCTCGATCATCGCAGAAAAGTAGCCTGCTTGTTCCTGCTTCCTGATGCGTACGGCTTAGGAATCGAATGCTCTACTACGGAAATGCAGATGCCTATCTGCATTTCCCGTAAAGTACAATTTAGGGCTATGCAAGGCTAGAGTGAATAGGCATTTTTTAGGCAAACGCGTCCCATCGTCGCTTAACATCAGGTGAGATTGTGGCCAAGCGTGTGTCTATTATATATTTTTAAAAAGTCACTATTAATGAACTAAAAACTATTAAGTGCTACAAATGCGGGGCCGCCGCGCCACTACTGCAGCGCTTCTAGAAGCGTCTAATTTGAAGGCGCCCTTACATTCAAGGTTTGGCCTTTTCATTTAACATTCATGTGCTGTCTACAGATATATATGGCAAAAGCCGTTACTTGAATGCCATTATTTGGTCCCAAAAACACTTACTTGAATTAACTTTAGCCCAATAGATTTACTGCCATAATACGTGGCATACCTGCTAATAACGTTACTATTACGCGTGTAAACATTCTAGCTGCTTCCGTGTATGTCGCTTACATCGGCCTGGTATGGCATATAGTACTTGCATCAGCAAGTATGCTAGCTACAGGAATGTGTGTTTTGGTCTTGAACAAATTTAATAGAGCGTGACAGATTGTTGTGCTTTCATTCTGCCTGTATTACTTTGGTAACCTATCGCACCTATATAACCATGTCACCAAAGTGCAAACATATAGAAAAATGAAGTATGGTCAGGTGGGGTGAGAGGAACACCAGGGGAAAAGGGACTTGAAGCCTTAACTCATAACTAAAGAACACTATAGTTTCTCTGTCGATAAAACAGGCAAACAAATTAGTTTAAACGGTTGTAAAGAGATGTCGCTACGATTCTCCAAATCCAAAAGGCGGAAAAAAACAAATTTGCCAGTTATGAAACATTGAGAACACGAGGTGTACATTACCTTTAAAAGATACTATAACTACTCCTATTACCCCATTTTTTGGGAAAAGAGAACCGTTAGCACAAGTAGCACATTTTCGGCAAAACATCGTAAGTATTAAACTTAGCGTAACGATTATTAAAACACGTAAAGCTGATAAACAAAAGCAAGTTTAGTGTACTTCAAAATTCTTGTAAGACTTTATCTGTTCTTTCTAAGGCTCAAAACATTTGACTCCAAGTATATTCCTTTTACCCTACCTGACCTTAACCCTTTTAAATAAATTTATACTCACTTCACTCCATGGCAGTCACATCCGTCACATTCACATAACTGGCCCCCATATTTTCCCTATGACGCATCGAGACTACATGTTTCTTAGCATTTTCTGTTTCTTCTACGTCGGCGTCACAAACGCCACATTTCAACTTTCCGAAATCATAATAATGGTATTTATTCCTCCCCAACATATTGATGTTATGTTTTAGTTCCAAGTAGAACCGAAATACGTTCTCGGTCGATGGTTTCTGGACAAAATGGTCAGCGTAAACCAAATGCATTAACAAAGAACGTATGGAATTGAAGATACCCTTGCAAACAGTGCAATTGAAGGTCGACCCTTCGTCGTGAAGTATGTAATTCCCTTGCATATAAACGCTGATAATATCTCTTTTATTAGCCTGAATTTGCGATTCAACAACAAGATTTTGATGTTGAATGTTCGACAGAATATGGGATATGGCATCGTTCATATCTTGGAATGTCACATCGCACAGTTCACACTTAATTGACTCGTTTGAGGTGATTTTGTTGTTTTCCAAGATCTCTGCGTCGACATTCTGATCGTATAAGGCTGAGCGGACCATTTTAGCAATTGTTTCGATATGAACAGTGCTTTCGGTATGTTCTACAATTGCAGCAAAGGAAGGTACAGCAGTAAACTTAGGGCAGACAGCGCAGACATAATAATTTCCGAAACTGGCATAGTATTCCGATGGGCGGCAATGATTCTTGTACAATAAGGCCAATTTAAAAGGCGCTGCGTTACGCAAATGCTTTTTTTGGCGAATATGGTTGAATAACACTTGTCTTGGACCCTTTAAAGTCATGTCACAACAAGAGCAGTAGTTGGCAATCTTTCCAGAAGGTTTGATAAAGTTCTCAATGACCACATGGTCACGGTTGTTCAGCGGTTTGCCGACACTGGCCAAGAACTTCGTCCAGTCAAGACTTTTTGGGCCCCATTCTTCTGGGACTGCCCCGTCAGGGTTATTGGCTTTCATTTTTCGATACACCTTGTCGGATAGCTTTCCAAGGTGATTTTCGTCAAGAATATGCAAGATTACGGCTTCAAGTGATTCCACGGACTGTCTACAGAGGCCGCAATTGAAACCATTAGCGTCTTCAGTAACGCTGTGACTGTGAAGGAATTTTTGGTTCATCTGTTTTATTTTATCCATCGATGGGTCTTCCATTGTAAATGGAATGTGCTTGTCCGCTCGCAAGATACAGGATAAATTGTTAATGTGTGTCTCGCTGAAAACATGGTTTAGGACGCTGTCGTAGCGGAATCGTAAAGTATAATACTCGCAAGCCATGCAAAAGAATGCAAGTTTACCAGTACGATCGTCTACTAACGACAACAACTTGTGATTCACAAGCAGTTTAACAATATAATTCTCAATCGGCCCATAATAACGGTACTTCTTAAGTTGATTCTTCGTCGGTTTGTCTAATTGCTCATTTTCTTCATTGTCGTAGTTCTTATTCGTGTCAGTAGCGAAGTTTTGGTTCACATTATCCTTAATACTCATTATTATAGGAGCCACTGAGCTTGTTTGCATTGAGAAATCCATAGAGGATATATCCTGGCAAAGTTTATCGTAGGTCGCTTGGTAAAATTTCACGGCAGCATCAATACTGGCTTCAGAGTTATCAGGCAAATGCCTGATCAAAGATGCCTCAAGTTTAGCTAAAAACGTTCTATCTAACTTCTCCATAGGTTTAACAAGTTGGAGGATTTGTTCTAAATTCTGCGCTGGGGTTTCTCCACACTCCATTGCGGATAACCTTCGAGACATGTTAGGCAAGATGACGGGTTCAGCGACGTCAATGCTTTCTCTCTTCAATTTCGGTTTTGGTTGATGAATTTCCAGATTGAAATGCTTTTGCAACGACTCCATTAATGGTTCTTCGTCGTTCAGGGGGATTTCAACATTGCAATCAGTGCAAATATGCACCTGTTGCGCCTCATCACTCATTACCAACTCGGCTTTCAGCAATTCCGGTACTTCGCTGACTGGAAGACTGTTGAAACGTTGTCTTTGAACGCTGTTCTTTTTCTCCGTAGTAAATATGTACTCGACTTCAACACCTTCTCGTTTCTGGACGATGATTTGCTTGTGGGTTTCGTAAAGATTCTTCAAATAAGTAAGTAATGCAGGTTTCTCGTGCGTCAAAGGGTGATTAATCACATTTCGAAAGTGTCTAGTGAGTTTTCTCACTTCGTCAGGTTTCCGGAACGACAAAACCGTCAATTCCGACATCGTCTTCTCTAATTCTTCAATATCTGGCTTCGCAGCCATTGTAACGATAAAATAGATTTAATAAAAAATAACTGTACAACGATTTTTAACGTAGACTCTCTTGCGTGAACAAGAGTATGAGTCCGGTTAGCTAAATAAAGCTAATATATGAATAAATTTTGATCTGTCAGTGAATTTGTATGCCCGTACAATGTGAATCCAAAAGAGAGTTTGTGCGAATTTTTTAATCCGGAAGAAATAACAATGTTTTTGATTAAAATAAACTGAATGAGGTTTGGAGACTATCACCGCATTTCAAGACCTGAAACAGAGAGAAAATCAGAATTAAAAGTTGCTTGAAATTATTCTAACAAATACATTATAGTATAACAATGCATCCAGGGTGCTATTGGGGTCTCAGGCATATTCATCGACACGCGCGCGTAGGCAGTTTCATGGCTGTATTACTTAAAAAGTCAGCTTCGCTACTGAACAAAACACGTGTCAGGCCCAACAGCCTTTTGAAGATCTTTGCTGAGAGGAATGAGTCCCCAACATTGCGGTACTTAACGAAGTAGTTGGTAGAATATAAATTCAATTGTGTTAATTCTGTACTAACATTATTATGGGTCTTGGTAGTCTACTAATAACGAACCTTACATTTATTTATCTGATGAGTTTGGGTGTAATTTGTGGTTGTCTTTGTGTGTGTCCATATAGGGTTTCCCTAGTGCGAGGACGTTTTCCCGTGTGCGTTATTATTATTATTACTTCATCTATTCACGTAACTCGTCACCTCGATATTCATCCTTTATACACTGGTTTAAGGTGTAAGATGGTTATTTCACCTAATGATACCCATCCACATTCATATTTTTTTATCATCCAAGTAATATCAATTTCTGTACATAGGTAGGTACATGTCCATAGGTAAACAAATGATTACTTCGGAAATTTTCAAATGGCACAAATCAAATCTTATCTCTTCGGTCACGTTATGAAATTCGTCAAACCCCCTTATACGTCTCACTGCTGGGCATGGGTCTCCCTCAGGCGAAGGTTTACTCTTTGGATTTTTTACACTTTGGCTCAACGCGAATTGGGGACGTCACACGTTCTGAGAGTTGGTAACTTTCTTCGATATGCAAGTGGTTATGAAATTTCGACCAAACGTTATTTCTGGAATATGTCATTTTGGAGTACTGATAGGCAACCCTTGTTTGATTGAAAACATCGTGATGAAACTACATGTCGAAGAAGGTTCCCAACTCTCAGAACGTGTAATGTCCCTGAGAGGAGACCCATGCCCAGCAGTGGGACGTATAAAGGGGTTTGATGAATTTCACGGGTTACCTATCAGTAATCCGAAATGACATTCTCAAGAAATAACGTTTGGTCGAAATTTCATAACCTCGAAAGTAATTTTGAGAGGAAAATGTTTTTTCTTTTAAACCTAACTTAACCTAACCTAGCCAACCCTAATCGTGTCTTTGCGATAAACATTCGACATATCCTGAAAGAACAACTGTTTCATTTCAACGTGTACATTCCAGAATGTACACGTGTTTGTATATTTATCACGTGTCCATACCACGCCAGAGTGGTATGGACACGTGATAAAGACGAGACCTCCCGACTACATTCAAAATGCCGCAACAGATCTGAAGTACTCTGAGTCCAGAAAACTAGGAAGACCGAAGAAGAGGTAGATATATCATACCGCTAAAGATGTAAGTAACTGCCATGTCTCTGAAAACGAAACGTCCAAACGGAGCAAAGTAGAGAGAAAGTACAAGAGAACCAAACCCCATAAACAGATGGGCGTAATAATGCTGAGGAGACAAATAGAAAAAAAAGAGAGAGAAAGAGAGAGAGATAAATATATAAACACGTGTACATTCACCAACTGAACTTCACAGAATGAGCTCTAAAGGTCCCCTCTGAAATAGAGAAGTTGTTCACCCTATAAAATTTAAATTGGTAATAAAAATATTAATGCAGAAAATATCCCATCGACAATTCTAGAAAGTTTAGCATAAAGTTAGCCAGAGATCGTTTAAACATGAAGGCCGCACAGATTTTAAATTTTAAAACACATTCGATAAGCAGTTTTGGCATCATTGTGGGTTGTTTTCATTTTCCTTATTTTGAAGATACCCGATTTGTACTGTAGTAGCAGGATAAGAAGGTCCCAGTAGGACTGATTTTGATTCTGGTGTGGGTGTTCCGAGGGCCCCGGTCCTCTGGTACAGGATTTCTTTTTTGTCGAGCCTGTCCGTAACAGTTGCAGTAGCGCTCAGAGCTGTAAGTCGTAATGTACTGAAGGGCATTGCTACTGCGTCCATCATCCTGAGACATAAATTGAAAATTTTCCATTTTTATCCAATTTCACCCCTTAGCCTTCAAAACCGAAACGCAGTAACGCTCATATTACTGCTTGGCGGCAGAAATAGGTACTGTGGCAGTACTTCCCTGGACGAACTCTTACACTACTCTACTGCTACTAAACTATTCCCTATGTGTTGCGACTACGTCTATATTATGTATTTCTTCCTTAAAGTTTAGGCAAATATACGATCTCTACTTTGAACCTTAAAATACATATTACTTATTTAAAGTTAAGTTTTACGACCACATGCTAATATATTTATAAAAGAAACTATTTTATCTCACACAAGGTCAGTACAAATATATACCTTATGGCAAAATAGTTAAAGTAAACATTAGATTGGTGAGTTAAATACGGTTACGATGTTTTGGTACCGGAATGCACATGTTTTCAAGAAAAACATGCGATAATTTAAATAAAATATGCCACTTCGACGCTTTAACCGAATATTATTAACCTTTATCAACAAAGTTGAAAAGGTTGTAAACCGCCAATAGGGAGCAATAATAATAGATCTCTCGGGCCACGTGAATTTATTGTATAAAGTAAAGGCGAAGAAAGGAAGAATGGTTGTAACAATAAAAATAGTTTAAAAAAACAAAGTACTACTTAAGTAATACGAAACATGTGTGAGACAGTAAAGAACTTACCCCTAATATTACTTAGGTTACTTGATTTTAAAGATATTAGATAGGTTACATGATTTAAATAGTAAACTGGTAAACGGATCAAAACTAGTAGTTAAGACGAGCAGGAGTGCTCGCCTCAGACATTGAGTCAAAAGTGACGACAGAACGAAACAAAGTGAGAATGACGATGCAAAGGAATTAAAGAACGATTCAAAATTCGAAAATAAGTGGCCAGGAACCAGAGCAAAGGTGATAAAAAGGCGGAATGACAATGGAGGAGGTCGCATCGTCACACTTTTTAGCGCGGACCCGACGTCCATATAATTGTAAGTCAATGGGTGTACCAGAATTTGATGGCACTTAGACAAATTTAAATTTGTAGTGGGCAACATCAATATAGTAGGAAAAAATGTAATAGATACTTCGTATAATCAGAATTGATCTATCGAACATGTTTAAAATCCGTATGAATTTGTGTCTGAAATTACTGACTCTTTAAAATGAAACAAAAATATATCAGTTACATTGTGGGTGATAGATTTATTTACGTTTGCAGTTTGAAGTAACCCATAAACGCCATTCTTCTTTTTTTACCAATCATTGTCTACACGCTGAGTCTTGCCGACCAGCACCAGTACCAACAAAAATTACATACCACATGTATTGATATGACTTCATTAAAATTTCAAAGATCACGTTTATTTACCCCTACTAATTGGCAAGATTTGAGACCCGCTTCTAAATCGTGAATTATGACTTAGGGTCGTATTCTAGAACTCTACTCAATGCTCAAGTCAGGATCTGAGTACGATTTCAAGCACTAGAAATACGACTCTAGTGGCAGGGACTTGAGTATGATTTCGAGTGCTTTAAACCATACTCAAATCCTAACTTGAGCATTGAGTAGAGTTCTAGAATACGACTCTTAGACGCACCTAATTCTTCGCTGATTTTGCTATAAACATTATTATAATGTTTTACTTGAGAATGAAGTGGATTCTCAGTAATTATTGCTACAAAAACATTATTATCAAGTTAAAATAGCAGACGGCTATTTGAAACAAGTAATATTTTGAATTAACATGTGACAAGTTAACATTGCCAGGTGAAAATCGTTAGATTTTTGTAATATTTAATACAATGAGATTCTGGTACACCTTATATCATAATTCAACCTTCTTTAGGGTTCCTCGAAGTATGTCCATGAATATAGAATCTACATTTGAACGAAGTATATTAACTATGTAATAGTAAACTTCAGTAACCAAACAAAAATAACTGTATATAATTATTTACACAGCTATTCTTATAGAGATAAGAATAAAAATCTTTATCAGTTGTGTGTTTTGCTCTTTAAAAGTTGACACGAGTGGCGAATAACGGCAGACTTCAGGAAAGTTTATAATAGCACTGAAGAGATGCATCCTAGCTATCTGTAATCTGGTACCAGATGTATCATGTCGCCCCATCGAGTATATAACCAGAAATAGAGACGAAATAAGGGCCATTCATCCCTGGCAACTCATCAGGCAAATGGGCCCTATATATCTTTTAAAAATCAACTCTCGTTTTCACGAAAATCACAAATTAGAAAGCTGAAATAGTACAGCGCCAACAAACTGACCTGTGTGTAAGTCTTCGTATATTCCAAGAATATTCTGTATTTATTGTAATAAAGATAATATCTGTATCTATGAGGGGCTGTTCCATTCGGTGGTATGGGAAAACAGCAAAACACCTAATTATAAAACAAACAGAATCACATTTAATCGGTAATTAAATATAAATATGTAATTTTTCAATTTTCGTCCATAATAGCAAAGCTCAAGTTAAACTGGTCGGTTTGAAGTAAAACAATTGACGACACCTGTCAATTGTTTCGAATTCGGGCTGGCCCCATACGGAGCGCAGTTGTCACCGTAATGATTCGGCAGAATAGTTTTCAAACAAACTAAATGACATTTCATTTCCATTTATAGTTATATACTCGATGTTTCGCCCCCATTTTAAATAACTTAAAATATTATCGCTGCCCTGTCTATACATACTCTAAACTGGTGTATTTGAAAGGTTAAATCAACAAAAATTTGTACCGGCGAATGATGTAACTGCTAGAAGCCAGAGAAACCCAAACAAAGTGATACTTGGCACAATCCGTAAGAAGAAATGTTTCCAAAGTAATTGTTATGCAATGTGTGGCAAAGTTTTTAACAAAATACAGGATCGATTTAAATCCCTTCCTTTGGCTAGATTTTAAAAGGGAATTGCACACTTGGCTTCTAGAACATCTATTGATGATTTTTT